TTCCCACTCACTCAGGCATCCCCACCCTTCGATCGGCCCCCACGCCCACCCTTCCCCCTCCCCCCCCCGCCTATAAAATTCTAATCGTCTCCCCCCTCCCCCCTCCCCCTCCCTCCACGCCACACCAGACAACTACAATAAAACGCACGATTCCCACAGATACTCACACATGCATGATGGGTAACTTCAAGCCTCTCCCTCCCTCCCTCCTCTCCCCTCCCTCCCTCCCTTCCTCCTTCCTCCCTCCTCCCCCCTCCCTCCTTCTCTCCGTCAACCCCTCCTTTTCCTCCCTCCTTCCCTCCCTTCCTCCTTCAATCCCACTTTCCTTCTTTCCCTCCTTCCCTTTTTTCAAGTACTCCTTCTCCTCTCTCTCTCTCTCCCTCCTTCTGTCAACCCCTCCTTTCTCTCCCTCTCTCTCCTACCTTCCCCTTCATCCCTCCATCTCTCTCTCTCTCTCTCTCTCTCTCTCTCTCTCTCTCTCTCTCTCTCTCTCTCTCTCTCTCTCTCTCTCTCTCTCTCTTTCTCTCTCTCTCTCTCTCTCTCTCTCTCTCTCTCTCTCTCTCTCTTCATTTCCCTCTCTCCCTTCCTCCTTCGACCCCTCCTTTCCCCTCCCCCCCCCTCCTACCCTTGAGCCTTTATTCTTATCCTCTTTCTCCGAACTCATTCCTGCCCCCCCCCCCCCACCACCCACCCCCAATCTCCCTGCACTGGCACCAACCCCCATCGCTACCCACCTGCCCTTCTCCCCCACCCCCTTACCCCTACCCATAACCTCACAACCCCCTACCCCTACCCACAACCCCATACCCTCTTACCCACAACCCCCCCCCCTCCCTTCCTCCCCTCGACTCCAAGAAGAAAATCGTAGTCGTTGTTATTCTTCGGCGCGACTTCCTGTGTTGGGTATCCTGGCTGCCTTGCCCAGGGTCTTCTCACGACCTGCGCTGACGTCGGCGATGCACCCTCCCCCCCCTCCCCCACCTCCAACAACCCCTCTCCATCCCTCCCAATCCCCTCCCCAAACCCCTCTCCATCCGCTCCCCTAACCCCTCCCCACCCCCTCCACCAACCCCTCTCCATCCGCTCCCCTAACCCCTCCACCAACCCCTCCCCTAACCCCTCTCCATCCCCTCCCCTAACCCCTCCCCATCCCCTCCCCATCTCCTCCCTTACCCCCCTACCCATACCTTCCCCCATCCCGTTCCCGTCCTTCCCCCTCCTTCTGTCTTTCTCTCTCTCTCTCTCTCTCTCCCCCTTCTTTCTGTCTTACTCTTCTGTTTCCCTTCCCTTTCCCCTTTTCTTTCTTTCTTTCTTTCTTTCTTTCTTTCTTTCTTTCTTTCTTTCTTTCTTGCTTTCTTTCTTTCTTTCTTTCTCTATCGATCTTTCTTTCCTCCTTTCTTTCCATCTCCTATTTTCTTTCTATCGGTCTTATCTTAATGAACTGATAAAGTGACAAACTGATAATTTCGAAAGAGGGAGGAACAGAAGAAGAAGAAAAAGAAGAAAGAGAAACGAAGACGAAGAAAACGACAATGATAAAAACGGGGCGAAGATAGAGAAGACGGAAAAAAGAGAAAGAAGCGAGAGAGGGAAGAAGACTAACACGAAGAAAGAAAAACAAGTAAAAAATAAAATAAAATAAAGAACGAACAAGAAAACTAAAACCAAAAAACAAACAAACAAAGAACACAAAAGAAAAAAAAAAGAAAAAGTAAAAAGGAAAAGCAGAAGAAGAAGAAGTAGAAGAAGAAGAAGAAGAAGAAGAAGAAGAAGAAGAAGAAGAAATAGAAAAAACCGAAAAAACCCACAGCAACGGGCCCCGGCGAGAGCATCGTGGGATAAGTACTTGAGATCGGCATTGAAGTCCCTTTTTGTCTCGGCGGTCGCGCGGCCTCGTGGATTTCTTTGTTTTATGTTTTTCGTCGCTACAAAAATTCCAGACATGAGTCCTTTCCGCTTGAGAGAATGGGGGGAAAGCGGACACAAAGAGACTGCGAGATGGAGAGGAGAGGAGGAGAGGAGGGGATCAGGGGCAAAGAAGAGACGAGAGGAGGAGAGGAGAGGCAAAGAGGAGAGAAGAGAAGAGGAGAGAAGAAGAGAAGAGAAGAGAAGAGAAGAGAAGAGAAGAGGAGAGGAGAGGAGAAGAGAAGGAGAGGTGGAGAAAAGAGGAAAGAGAAGAGGAGGAGACATGTGAGGAGGAGAGAAGGGGTAGAAAAGAGGAGAGGTGGAGAAAAGAGGAGAAGAGAAGAGATAGAGAAGAAGAGAGGAGGTCAGGAGGAGGGGTGGAGAGGAGAGGAGAAAAGAAGGGTGAGGAGACGGTGCGGGCATAAAAAGAGGAAAAGAAGTAAAAACAAGAGAAACGAAAGAACGCAATGAGGCAAAGAAGAGAAAAGAGAAAAGAGAAAAGAAAAAAGAGAAAAGATAAAAGAGATCAAGGGAAGGAAGGAGATAGGAAAAGAGAGAGAGAAAAAAAAAGAAGACAAACAGCGGAATGTGTACACGATACATATAACAATGGAAAGAAAGAAAGAAAATGAATAATAAAAATAAATAAATGGAAGGACAGGAAGTAAATAATAATAATAGAAAAAAACATTAATTCAAAATAAATACGTCAACCGGCAAATGGCGTTTGACGATGATGATGGCAATCGCCCTTTTTTGCAACATTTCTTTAATCGATCAACAAGGAATGAAGGAGGGAGGAGGAGGGGGAGGGGAGGGAGCGATAGAAGGAAGGAGGGAGGGAGGGAGGGAGGGTGAGAGGTGAAGGGGAGGGAAAAGGAGGAGGGGGAGGGGAAGGAGCGGTGGGGAGGGAGGAAGGGAGGGAGGGAGAGGGAGGGAGGGAGAGAGAGAGAGAGAGAGAGAGAGAGAGAGAGAGAGAGAGAGAGAGAGAGAGAGAGAGAGAGAGAGAGAATGAGAGAGAGAAGAGGGAGTGGAATGAATAAACAAAACAGACCTTCGCCTAAAAAAAAAAAATAATAATAATAAAAAAAAACTACGATCACTACCTTTTTTTCACCCCCCCACCCCCTCGAACGCCCGCCCCCCCCCCCCCCTCCTCCCCCACCCGATCCAGCCAAGGCCACCTTCCCTTACAAGGAAGGCCCTGAGACTTTCGGGATGAGGGTCTTCAAACCTACCCTTATACCCTCCCTTATACCCTGACCCCATGCCCTTATACTCCTGGCCTGCGTACCTACCTCATTACTCCCGATATTGCCGCCCCTACTCCCACTCCTCCCCTCTCTTTCCTCTCCTCTTCTCTTTTCTTCTCCTCTACCTTACTTCCTCTACTCTCTTTCCATTCCTCTCATCTCTCTCCCTTCCCCTTCCCCTTGTCCTCTCTCCCCTCCTTCCTCTCATCTCTCTCCTTTCCTTCTCCTTTCTCATTCCCTCCTCCTCCCCCTCCCCCTCCTCCTCCCCCTCCCCCTCCCCTCCCCTCCCCTCCCCTCCCCTCCCCTCCCCACACCTTATCCTTACCTCCCCTCCCCTCCCCCTTCCCCCACCTCACCTTATCCTTACCTTCCCCTCCCTCCCCCTCCTTCCCTACCCCCCCCCTTCAAAAGCCCCATAGGAGTCCCTAATGAACAGACAGGCCTCTCTCTGTTCATTCCCTTCCCCGACAGAGCCCCTGCAGGAAGCTTATTGAACTGCATGTTGAAAACGCGTGATCATATGAGCCTAGGGTTGAATCAAGAAGGAAGAAGAGGAAGAGGAAGAAGAAATGGAGAAAACGGAGGAGAAAACGGAGGAGGAGGAGGAGGAGGAGGAGGAGGAGGAGGAGGAGGAGGAGGAGGAGGAGGAGGAGGAGGAGGGGAATAGGGGAAGAGGAGGAGGAGGAAAATGAGGAGGAGGAGGAGGAGGAGGTAGAGGAGGAGGAGGAGAATGAGGAGGAAGAAGAGGAGAAAGAGAAAGAGAAAAGAGAAGGAGAAAAAGACGAAGAAGGAAGAAAAGACGAAAAAGAAAATAAAAGAAGTATTAAAAGCAAAGGGCAAACGGATATACATTTTTCTGATGCAACAAGCAGCGGCGACTCACGAAAGAAAAGGGGAAGAGGGAAAAAATAAGAAAGTAATAGGAGTTCCGTGAGGCTGCTTATGGAGGACATTGTACAAAGACGAGGGGGGCGAGGGGGGGGGGGGGGGGGGGGGGGGACGAGGAGGGGGGCGGGGGGGGGGGGGGTGCGGAAGGTGGTTTCGGTGGGTTTCAGCCGAATAAGAGAGGCGAGAATGAGCGAGTGAGAGGTGAGTGAGTGAGTGGGTGAGTGAGTGAGTGAGTGAGTGAGTGAGTGGATGAGTGAGTGGGAGGGTGAGTAAGTGAGTGGGTGAGTGAATGGGTGGGTGTTCGAGTGATTGATTGATTGATTGATTGAGTGAGTGAGTGAGCGAATAAGTGAGTGATTGAGTGAGTGAATGTTTAGTCTATACTTCCTTAATAAA